GGCGCTACAGCCACAATTTGGGCCTAGGCCTACCTCCATGAAACTCTCTGTTTCACTTCGGTTTACTAGATCTTACACATTCGGTAGGACTCCTTGTGCGGGTGATCAGCTGTTGCAAGGCTGTACACAAACACAGAAAAACGCACACACACATCCATGCCCTGAGTGGGATTCGAACCCACGATCTCGGCTTCCGAGCAAACGAAGACAGTGCATGCCTTAGACCGCTCGGCTACCGTGACTGGCTATTCACACCAAATACTATTTTGTAATTATATGTTTTGTGTAATAAAATGACTTGCCATATGTGTTTAATTATCTGACCACTCTCCTTTATACACCTTTAATTAAATTGCAGTTTTGATGTTTAGGATGACAAGGATTGTAAATTTCTTGACATTCATACACTAAAATAATTAAATGGTCTATGTTAATATTTTCAACATGAATGACTTTTGCTGAGCTAGTGACTTGACTCGTGATAGGACACTATCGCAGTATAGCTGGTTGATGTGTTTGAAAACAAATATTTAATTTCTATTAAAAACACATAGATCCAGAGTCTGCCATATTCATGAGCACAAGACATGACTGGACTAGACTCCTCAGGCCTTGACTGGAATAGTTTTTGTGTGGAAACAGCTATAGGGTGAGGAGAGACTGAGTCCCTTGGTACTAGGCTATATACGACCCATTCGATCAGCCCCCACATGATAGGTGAGAGAAATGAAACATCTGGTTGTGCAAGAATTGGCAGGGAAACTGAAGTACTTGGAGAAAACCTGCTCCATAGCCACTTTGTCTACCACAAATCTCATGTGAATTGACCTGCAATTGAACCCAGGCCATCACAATGAAAAGCAAGTGGTTAACTGCCTGAACTGTAGCACAGCCAAAATGCTGTACATATGGCAACCCCATCTCTGGGCTAGCACTGCAAAGGGCTGATAACCTACACACCGGACTAACATACTAGAAATATCGCACATGATGTGTACCGTGTTAACAGTAACCACGGGTCATATGAGATACTAGTGGATCATGGAAGTGTGCATTTCTTGGTTACATAAAATTAGGATTGTACTTCTTACACTGTGAAGGCAGTGAGTCATTCATATCTTCCAGGGCAGCAAAAATATGATTATGTACCCCTCCTTCTGATAAAAGTTCAGAGCAGTGATTTTATTATGGAAAGCCATATAGGAGTAATTACACGAAGTCTAATTCTAACATAATTATATATTACATGCATTGTCAATATCAAGATGGCAGCAGTGTGTACTCTGAGGGGAGATTTACTGTGTATTACGTGTTCACTTTCAAATTTACACTCCAAAGAATTAGTCAGAATTGTGCATTCAGTGTGAGGGTTATGAAGTTCTGTTAGAAACGTGAGATGGATTTAGCCAGCTGTAGTGCTTACATTACCAGCATGAGTATGTGAACAAATGATTAAATTGAAGAAAGCAGTCTTCTGGGATGTGGCACCATGTAGATGTGGTGTTAACTGACATTTTTGAGGAACGTATTGCCTCCATCTTCAGGGTACTTACTTACTCATGGAGCTGAGCCCTTCTTGAGGAGCCGCCAATTCTGCAGCTACTCAAAAATTTCCCAGCATTTTATGGAACCCGAAGGTTCATTACCATGTTCACAAGAGCCCTCCACTGGTCCCTATCCTGAGCCAGATCTATCCAATCCATACCATCCCATCTTATCTCTCTAAGATCCATTCTAATATTTTCCACCCATGTACGCCTTGGTCTTCCCTGTGGTCTCTTTCCTTCTGGCTTTCCCACCAATATCCTATACACTACTGTGGTAGAGAATACTGGTAGAAATAGGGGAAAATCTGCTGTACTGAGCCTGGCTAGACAAAGGCCTTGTGTATATTATACATA